GAATGGTCCCCATCTGACAGCAAGAACATAGGACCATAGTCATACAACCACAAGGAAATGAATTCTGACAACAATCATGAGCTTGGAAGACAATGAGCCTCAGATAAGATCGCACCCCTGGCCAACTCTTAAATTTCAACCTGGTGATATCCTGAGCTGAGAACAGAGCTAACCCATGCCCAGACTCTTAGTCAACAGAAACTGTAAGATAACAAATCCACTGTCATTTGAAGTCACTAAGTTTCTAGCAATGTTAAATGGCAAGAGAAAATTAACATAATAACCATGCCTTACTCAAAAAAGGGAGAAGTCTTCCATATAATCCCTATTTGCCTTCTGAGACTTACTTCCTCATACATTTACTCTCTCTTCATCATCTACCCACCCTGGAAAGTCCTCTTTCATACTCACTAGACAAGATAGCAAACCCAAACAACAAATAATAAACCTGAACTCTCTTTCCTCATCTTACTTTAGCATAGATGAGATAAAATGTCCCTTCAACCTGACATGTCTTTTCTGCACTATCAACACTCAGCCTATTTTTTCTTTGCTGAAATCCTACATTTCTACTAAGGATAATTTCAAACATACCTCCTTTAAAAATTCTCCCAGTGAAAATCAATTAGTGCTACCTAAATTCTGTGTTCCCATAGCACTTTTATTCTTCTAACAGTTACTACGCTGTACTTTAGAATATAGCTCATTATACATGTGCATTACATTGGATAATGTTTGAGACAAAGCTAAGATTGTACAAAGATTATATCATTTCTGGAGCACCTGGGTAGTTCAGTCGGTTAAGCATCTGACTCTTGGTTTTGGCTCAGGTGGTGATCTCCGGGTCGGAGATAGAGCCCCACGTCAGGCTCCCCGCTCAGCACAGTCTGCTGCATTCCCTCTCCTTCTGCCTGCCCCCCTCCCCCGCGCTCACATGTGTGCTAGCTCTCTGAAATAAATCTTTTTTAAAAAGATTCTATCATTTCAATCTCACTGCCTTGTAGATGATGTATATATTCAATGTTTGTTTGTTGCATAACTAAATGAACAAATAAAGGAAGAAACAATCCAAGGGAACTTCAACAGCCAATCTCTGAATTTTATATATAGTTTCAAAATGAGAGGCTAGCACAGATCTCAGGGGTGAGGAAGAGAAGTACTGAGGGTCGATATGAATAAGGGTTGATATGCTATACCCATATTGGTGCCCAGCACCATGCAGTTACTTTAAAAGATAGAAAAGAAATGAAATATCTTTTTTTTTTTCAGTTTGAGGCTAAAAAACAGTACAAACTTTAGTACCAAAACATTTCTACTCGGAAATATATTTTCCTTTGTTTTTGTTTTATCTAAACTTTGCTTCTCCCCTTTAAGCTTCCTCCCTTAATTCACACTTAATAGTACTGCACAGCACTCAAAACCATACAGCCCATACCACAAGCTCCCTCCACAAAGCAGCACATACAACCCTCCCTGCTTTCTCAGAAGCACCATGTTTATATGACCAGATACCACATTTATTAACAGCTTGCTGAAGTCAGTTTTTACAACTACAAATAAATCCCTGGGTACAAAGGAAGTACCATCCTAGATTCTCAGACTCTACATGATGGATTCCTATGGGGCTTCGTTCATGGACTCATTAAATGGCCTGTCAGGCAGGGGGGCAATATCACAGAAAAACAGAAGAACTCTTTGCCACTGTTTTCTTTAAGTTTATTGCTTTATATTTTGCCACAACAATGTGAAATATTTATGTTTCAGAAGGGCAAGAAATTTATCATTTTTTTTAAAGGATAAAAGAAATTTTATCCTTTTAAATTTAAGAATTTAAATTTAAGAAATTAAATTACTGTCTTATATAAACAGGGTCAATCTTTAGGCCCTTACTCTTATTTAAAATAAGAAAATAATAAGAGCAGTTACATTTACTGGCAACACTAAAAAATACCAGCTAAGAGAAGACAGAAAAACTATAAAAATCAGACACAAAAGCTGTAAAGATAAAGCAATTTGGAGCCATTTAATATCAGGGTAACAGCCATATCAAGCTTAAGAGCCACTCATGACATCTTTTTATCAGAGTACAACTAGTACAATTGGTATTCAAACTATCTCTCCTTAGATATTCCCTTAAATGCACTAGCGCTCCTTAACTATCTTAGATATACAATACTTATACTTTGTCTCAGGTTTATTTTTTTAACCTAGTCTCATCCCCACAATGAAATTAAATCTCTCTGAAAACAAAGGTCATGCCCTCTTTGGTTCAGTATACCAGGAGATTGGGACCATAACAAGTGATCAGAAACAACTTGAATGAATGTTCAATCTATTACTGAAGACCAAAAAACAGATATAAATAATGTAATTCTTAGTGATATGTTAAAATCAGTTGTTTACACACTGACTGCCATGAAAGAGGAAGAAATGTTTTAAACTTGCTAGAATATAAATTTTTTTTTAAAGATTTTATTTATTTATTTGAGAGAGAGAGACAGTGACAGAGATAGCAAGAGAGAGCACAAGCCGGGAGGAGAGGGAGAAGCAGGCTTCCTGCGGAGCAGGGAGCCCGATGCGGGGCCTCAATCCCAGGACCCTGGGATCATAACCTGAGCTGAAGGCAGATGCTTAACCAACTGAGCCACCCAGGTGCCCCTAGAATATAAATTTTTAAAAAAATTATTATTTTGCTTATAAATGAATAGGTGGAATACATTTTCCCTTGGGTTAAATGTGATTTTTGTGAGCTTTTCTAAATCTTCATTATATGAATAATATAAACTCAAGAATACACAATCTTCTACCTTGAAATTTCCATTCTCAGCCTACAAAAAATGTAAAAACTTGTAGAATGAATTTCTCTATAAACCTTACCAATATTCATCAAATGTTAACATTATGCCATGATTGTTCTCGCTACACAGACACACACACACATACACTCAGCTGCCAGGTTTCACTGAACCATTTAAAATTATTTATTATTATCTGAAAATGAGTTACAGGTATCATTAAATTGATCCCTAAATATTTTATCCCAATACATATCTCTTAATGAATAAAGAAATTCTCTTAACTGAACATAATACTATTATCACACCTGGGGGGGGATTCCATAGCAACAGGTATCTTCTAAAGATAAAACTGTTTTCCTATACATTACTAGATAATTTCCAAATTGTTGTCAAGAAGGAAAAAAATTCTATAAATATAATTAAAAACAACAAAAATGTTTAGGATTTTTTAAAAGGAGGTCTAATGTGAGGGAAGCAAAACATAAGAGTCTCTTTATAACTACAGAAAACAAACTGAGGGTTGCTGGAGGGGAGAGGGTGGGAGATGGGTTAAATGGGTGATGGAAAATTAAGGACGGCACTTGTGATGAGCACTAGATGTTATATGTAAGTGATGAATCACTAAATTCTACTCCTGAAACCAATATTACACTGTATGCTAACTAACTAGAATTTAAATAAAAACTTGAAGGAGGGGCGCCTGGGTGGCTCAGTTGGTTAAGCAACTGCCTTCGGCTCAGGTCATGATCCCGGAGTCCCGGGATCGAGTCCCGCATCAGGCTCCCTGCTCAGCAGGGAGTCTGCTTCTCCCTCTGACCCTCCTCCCTCTCATGCTCTCTGTCTCTCATTCTCTCTCTCGCAAATAAATAAAATCTTAAAAAAATAAAAAATAAAAAAAAAACACCTGAAGGAAAAAAAAGGATATATAAGTAAAGCCATATGTTTTATAAACTACATTAAAATGATTTCTTAAAATTTCATATGAAAATATATTACTTATGTTTTACAGTCAGTCCTTTTCCCCCCATAATACTACAACTAAACTTAATTTTATGGACATTATAAGTATCATTCTCAAAACTATCAATTTTTATCATTCTTTCAAAAGATTTCCTATCCTATATCCAATGCAGCCCAAACTCTATATACAAGGTATTTTTGTTTCAAAATATACATTAATGATACTTTAAACACTTTTAATAAGACTTTTTTCATGAACAAAAACAATGTATTAAAATATTCTTACTTTGTTAGTATTTTATTAATTTTTTTAGTATATTGCTTCTCCACAGACTGAAAAGAAAACCCAGTTTGTATACAAAATGAGATGAAATTATTGTCTCCAAATTGCTGGACATACTACTTAACCACAAGACTAACTATTTACAGCATGGCTTATCAATCTAGGAATCAAAGCCCCTCCCCCCCCAAAACACAACTACAATAGTAAAGACAATTAGCTTTAAACTGTAATTAACTGGAATGAGAAAAATCAATCAGAAAAAAAACTAAAAAGAAACAGATATAACTGATCACTACAATAAGGTCTCAACTATTAGGTATCAAAATGCTTGCTAGTAACCAATTAAAATGCCATGTCTTAATATACATCAGTCTGGACGCATCCACTAAAGCCCTTAGGAGAGGATAAATTGCCTTGTTTCTTTTTCACCCATTTCCAGAATTGAGTGAAATATTTTCCCTCCCTCCCCTTTCAATTAGTGACTTCATCTTTTTGCAAATTTCATAAATTAACTTAACAAATGGCATTTAATAGCAATTAGACTCTTACTTAGAACACGTTCTTTTCTGAATCAAGAGTTCTGCTTTGTGAGAGCTCATAAATATGTGAAAAAAAAAATTCCAATATTCAAATTTTTAAAAGTATGTAACTAAATATATTTTTACAATAAAAAAAAATTAAGCTGCTTTGTATGTTAAAGCAGCCTGGGGGAGCCTGGATGGCTCGGTTGGTTAAGCATCTGACTCATGATTTGGCTCAGGTCATGATCTCATGGGTCATGAAATGGGAGCCCTGAGTCAGGCTCCGCACTCAGTAGGGAGTCTGCTTGAGATTCTCTCCCTCTGCCCCTCCCCCCATTCTCTGTCTCTCTCTCTCTCAAATAGATAAATCTTAAAAAAAAAAGTCTGAGATCTATTCAACAAATATCAATTGGTGAAAGAAATGAAGATTTTACTTACATTTGTAATAGCTATTGCATTTTTATCATAGTATTTCTTCTTTTCATATTTATCTCTGATGAAAAATTCCACTGCTCTGAAAATAGATAACTTAAGGAAAAGCATGAGTTCAGTGACAATGTACACTCCCCTTTATTCATTCCTTTCCACAACGCCTACACTCTATAGTCAATTTTCCTCCTTCCCAGTCTGTGCTTTCCTCTCACACTATTTCTGCAACTAAATTCTGTAACCTACCTTTCTTTCTGCCACAGAAAGTCTCTTTCAGGGAGTTCTCCCCATTCAACAAAACCACCTAAACCAATTCTAGAACGAAAAGTAACCACATTTCTCAATTCCACCACACTCCCCAAATCTCCACCTCCAACCAAACTCTTTCATTTTAAATTCTCAGTGTAAGGAAACTAATAGCCATGCGGTACCCACAACGTACCAAACGCTGTATGCTATGTGTTGTCGATAGTTTGTTTCTTTCAATCCTTCCACAACCCAGTAATATATATACTATTTCCACATCACAGATGAGTAATTAGCAACTTAGAAAAATTTAACAATTGTGATTCCACTACTTCTGTTCTTTCCCACAATACATGGCTTCCCCTGGTTGCATCATAGAGGATTCCCTGTGTTTTAGAAGAATGGAGGCCTTTTTTTTTTTTTTTTTCCTTTCAAAGCTGAGGAATGGAGAAGTCAAGAAGCTACAACCAAAGTCAGTACTATTTAATTTTTTGGAGTTGGCTGGACTAGCCTTATACGTTGACAGAGTGAGCCATTTCTAGTGGGATTTGAGAGTTTTGAGTTATCTGATATTGAAGACTTCTCTTACCACTCAATCACTACTTTATCGTATTTCACTAAAATGGGAATTTTTCCATTTAGCACCATGATCCCCTTTGGTAGTCAGGCAAAGCCTATGAACTCCTTCCTGGGACAGTGCTTTTAAATGCGTAAAATAAAATACACAGAATTACAAAGGAAATGTGAATTATACTGAAATACAATCTCTCTGTAGATCCCCATTAAGACATCCTTCTGTTCAAAAGAACAGTTACCTGAAGCAGTAAAGCAATACACTTTCAGTCAAAACTCCTTGTCAGAAATTAATAACAGCCTTTTAAATTGACAGTTGAGGCAATAGGTAACAGAAAGAGTTGACACACGAATACACAGTGGATATTAAAAAGTTGGGGTATTATGAAAGCACTCAAAGGGGGCCAGGGAAGGAAATCTAAACATTTAATTTTTTAAGTAAGCTGAATGAAAGCTATTTTTAAAGACAGTTTTCTACAACGTGAGTATGTGAAGGGCACTTTATGAGATCTTTATCTCCTTTTTTCCTCTTAAACAACCTATAAGGTAGGTACCATTTCACAACCAAAAGTGAGGCACAGGAAGTTTAAAAAGTCTGGGATTCTACAGTACAAGGAAGAGTTGTGATTCAAAACCAGGAATGTTTAGCATCAGCGTTTTCAGAATGTTCCTGATCATCACCAGTTTATCTGTGAATCAGTCAGTTATTTTATGCTAATGCTAATAAATACTTTAAAATCTAGAAAAGAATGTTAAATTTGGAGGGTATTTTCAAAGTATCCTTGGAGACCCTTTTAAGTGAAAGGCCCCAAATCTGCCATCAGGCTGCTTATTTAGGTATGTGAAAATTTTCGTAGCCAATTCAATACCAAAAAGTTACCACAAATATGCCAATATTTCCATAAAATGCTATAATGTTATTTTACTCAAACTTGTAAATAAGCTAAATGTTAAGTTTGCTCATGATTATAAATCCAAGTTCAATATTACATTTTTCTATTTTTTTAACAGAAAAAAATGAAACAAAAAAAGTTGGCCTGTTAGATTAGGTGTACGCATATGGATATATTGAGCAATTTTCATTGTAGAGACAACTATTTACCTCCACAAAAAGGAAAAGAAAATAGACTTCACTTAGCCTGATGTCATTTTCACTTCAGATGATATGGAATATATTTATTATTTGTACATATATGTTTGTAAATTCGTGTATTTTAGCAGCAATTATATTTACAGTTATATAACATACAATATAGCATACATATACAGCTCTTTTTTTAACTACAGAAAATTTTTAGAAATCTGAATTCTTAAATTATAATTTTTATGATTAAATATCAGAGAAAGTAATACTGACATCTTTCCTTCTTAAAAATAGAAACAATATTCATTTTAGATATTGTTTAGCGTATACTACACCTTAAAGCTTGAAAAGATTTACTACTCTCATCTATGAAATGTTTATGATGAAAAATGATCACTGTTTGATTTTAAAAATTACTCTTAGAAAACTCATTAAAGTTAGAAATAGAATATATAAAATAATTTAACCAATAGTAAAGCTAAAATACTGAAAACTCTGATGTTTTATAAATACTGAATTTGAAAAAGGCAAACATTTTAAGTATGCCATATTTTTGAGTGAAAAACAATACGAACATCTGGTGAAATCACATGTTGCTGTGAATTTTCAGAAATAACAGATATAAGTGAAATCTTAATTCATACTTAATGTATTTTATATAAATAATTCAAATATAGCTGGATCTGGTTCTGCTCATGATACAAAACCCTCTCAGAAATTATCTAAAAAGTAAACAATTTCTAAAATTCTGAGACAAAAGTTGATGTTTTCCAAGGATATTAAAATAAGATAAAATAAAATAAATCATTAGGGCAAGAGAACTTACTTGGATCTTCCTATTGTTAACATAAAACAATACTTTTCAAAAACCAATCAAAGCACACCACAGAGTGCCTTTTTTAAGTTCCATGGGAGTCATCTGAAAAAGGATGGTAATTTAGGGAACATGCTATATTCTTGATTGCTCTCAGTTCCTACGTACTCTGAGAGCAAGAACATATCACACAGTCTTTATGTATATTTGTACAAGGTCCCAAATGCAAGCCAATTTGTCATTGTTAATTCACCTAAAGAAACAATGATTTATTGCCATGGTCAGCAAATTTTTTTTAGAGGGCCAGAAGGTAAATATTTTAGGCTTTGAAGGATAGATGGTCTGTGTTGCAACTACTCAACTCTGCCTCTGTAGCTCCAAAGCAGCCTTGAAAATACATAAATGAATGGTCATGGCTGTGTTCTAATAAACTTAATTTACAAAAACAGGAACTGGCTCATAGGCCTGTAGTTACTGATTCCTGAATTGTATCCCAATTTTGCCCAAGAGGGCAAAAAACAGTCAAGTTGGATTTACAGATCATCTCTATGTCTACAATCTGTCACTACAGACAACTTAAGGAATTTTCAATGGACATTCTGATAACAGTTTTGCATTATATGCTGACTCTAGTACTGATTTTCGAAGAAGATGGTCTCCCAACGTACACCCTCACATTTTCTGGTACCAGTAGGCACTTGTTATTTAACTGGCAGTTATTGTTACCCTGAAGTCAGCTCATCTGCTGAACCCATACCTAGATACATAAAAAAAGATAATCATACTCAACTCACAAAGTTGTTAAGAGTTATGGGAATAATACATATAAAGCATTTAGCACAGCACCTAACAGACAATAAGCATTCAATAAATGGAGTTAGCTTGCTTTTGCTTTTATATAACTTTGTATCTCAGTTTCCTCTCCTTTAAAATGGAGATAACATTAAGACCCATCTCACAGGATTATTGTAAGAATTAAATAAGCTAGTGTGTGTAAAGAACTAAGAACAGTGTGTGGCACGTAGTGAGTGCTATTTAATTTTTAGCTCTTATTACCATGGTAGATGGAGGTAATGGACGGGAACTACCATGTTCAGGGTTAAGATGGCTTGCATATCATCAAGTTTAAATAGATGAGCAACTGATAAAAACAAAAGAACCAATGAATTTGGAGATCAGTCAATATTCATCTTCATTCTCTAGTTTCTAGGCGTCATTTGAGACATAAGGATTTTTTTACTGACAGACATCAATAATACAACCAAAAAAATTAGAATAATAATTTCAGGAAATCAAGGTAAGGAAATATTAATAACAATTCAAGTTTATGTGGTTGATTTGGCATTTAGTAAACAAACAAAAACAAATACCCCAGAATCTTCCCCATGCCTACAGTTATAAAACATTCAACACAGTACCCTGAACTGTCCCTGTCCTCGAAACTAACAAATGATACTATACAAGCCCCCCAAAAGTTTAACATTACTTTGTATTTTATCTTTTAACATGTATTTATTTATAATTTGAGATTTTTTTCCCTTTTCTTAAAGATACCATTTTAAAGACAATTAAATATTTAGTCTCGAGAACAAAATCTTCCAATTCCAGACACATTACCACTGACAGCAATAAAATCTTGAAAAGCTCAAAGGAGAAAAACTGCTGATTAGCTTTGGTGCACAATAGACCTCATGGAACTGAAGTAATTAAAGTTTTTAGATAAGATGAAATACTCTAATAATGAAAAGCTTAATGTAAAGCTTTATCATTTGTCATGCACTAGTACATGCAGCCTATAATTAAACACATCCCACATGAGAAATTATACTTTCACAGCAGCTTTTGCATAACTTTGTACATTGTAAAGCTTTTAAAAAGTGACAAATCTTGTTAAGAATGCAGTGAGGCCCCATATTATGTGAGTTTTACTCAGTTTGGTTCCACTTGCCTCTGGGGATGAGGCAACAATATTTAAATCAATAAAAATGCAGAGATGTTAGGCTTTTCAAAGAGCAATGAAATTTAGAATGATTCATGAAATAAAGAAAGGGGACTAGTTTTCTTACTAGTTTCCCTCATAAAACCTCCAAATCACGATGTTTCATAATTAAAAGAAGGGAATAAAGTGATATTGCTGTAATATTTAAGGTAAAACAATTTTTAAAGGCCATAGTATTATATTAGATATAGGGGCTGATCTCATGGTCTGGGACATGGCCTCATATACTCTATAGTCCTCTATCTCAAATTTGTTTAGACAAAATCCCTCTTTATTTTCTGACAACCATTAGATTATCTATTTATGAACAGTAAGAGATCAAAACCTCATATAAATATGATCATAATTTGTAAACACTTTAGAAGTAACACTTAGTTTGAAAAATCAAATAAGCATGTTTGAGTAAACAACAGCAAAAATATACATAATCCAAAAGCCTGAAATGAATTACATCAGGTACTTAAAAGTTGTAATCTACACCTAGACCTTATGATCTAGCGCAGAGTTCCAAACCATAAGCCTATCTATTTTTAAAGGCCATCAAGACTCAAAGTGGCAACACTGATTTTACTCAGACTATCATCATTAAAAAATATTCAAGTGCCCTTCTACAGAAGGAAAAGTCTGGAAGCTTTGAGAAGTTTCTTAATAACTCTTTGAGCATCCCATCCTTCCCAACCCCCAAAATGAAAATATTATGCTCTAGTTCATTGGGTTATTTGGATAATTTAAAAAGATAATGATGATAAAAGGCCAAGCTCAGTGCTTGGCACCCAGCAAACCTTTTTTAAGCAATAAGACTACTTTAGCTGTTGTATCTTCAGTGTGTTAAAGGTCAAGGATGTAATCCTACCCAATGCCAATCAATTCACTATAAAAATCTTCTCTTCCCTGAAATGTTTAGGTAAATATTTATAATATTTAAATATAAATACTTAAATATTAAAAATATATCAGCAAAAATATCAGAATTAATAACTCACTACCTCATTAATCCTTTACTTCTATAAGGATCATCATAAAATTAATGGTAATTACTTAAATAATATTCCTACCAACATACATGAAATAGTGCACAGAACATAGTTCAATGTAGGAAGATACCAAGAAGCTAATATACAGTCCTTTCCTGAATATCTTCCAGGCTTCTTTGAAAACAATATGGAATCATGACGATGTATTAAATAACTTGGAAGCCACTTTCACCCACAAGGAACTAAATAAAGGATACTACCAAAAACTACCCTGCAGTATTCAAAAAAAATCCAAAAAAACTCAACTCAAACCAAACCAACCCCAACACACGTACAAACTTCCACAAAAAGGAGATTCTTCCACTTGAGGGATCTTATATGTCAACTCAGGCTTGGGGGTGAGAACCAGAGAGAAGAGAATAAATACAACTAGCAAGCAATTGGTAAAAACCACCCAGGACATTACTTGTTTGCTCTGCTATATTTCCTTCTACTATGCTCTATTTCCCAGGGTTCTGCCCTAGGCCTTCACTTTTCAGAGGAGAAAGAAAACAGCATTCCCAAGTTTCTCAATAAAACACACAAAAAAGAATAAAGGACTACTGCCCTGAGTAAACATAACTTCAATCGTCTACATGCTATCTACAAGCTATCATCTACATGCTAAATCACTCCATAATCTGCACTGTATTTCCTGCTTTCTTCTAGGGTCCAGACCCATGTTTCTAGCTACTGAATTGGGATCTCCATGTATATGTCCAACAGACAGCTCAACCTGCCCAAAGCAATGAAGTATGGCTCATTACCTTTCATTTCTGACCCTTCAACCTTTATCCGGTACTGAATTTCTTCTCTCAGGGAATATGCTTTATTTATCTCACCCAAAGAACCTCCACCAAGCTTTAAAATTTGGGGTCATCTCAGTATCTTTCCTCAGAAACACGGCCAATCTCAACCTAATCCAATTGCTCCTGCTTTCCCAATTTCTTTCCAATATTCCCAATTCTTTCTTATCCATTCTCAATGCCACTATCTAATTCAATCTAATTATCTAATTTATAACTTCATCATTGCTCATTTCAAGGCTATACTAGCATTCTACATGGGTCTCTGACTCCAAGGTCTCCTCTGACTAATCTTCCTTATGGTAGAAGTAAATGCTTTTAATGTTTCTCCTGCTTCAAAACCCTTCATGGCTTTTCAAATCCTTCAGCTTCCATGAGCCCATGGAATGAGGTCCACACTGCTTCTATATGGTACCAAAAACCCTTCACAATCTGGAAAATAAGCTTCTTCTGCCACTTGCCCCACTAAACGTGAACCTGTCACATCAAAACCTTAAAATGTCATGTTTCCTCACACATTCATACCTCTACTCACACAATTTGTTATGTCTGAAATGTACCTACCACTTTTACCCTAGGAACTTGCTAAATAAAAACAGCCTTGGATATCAGATTGTTAAATTTTGGGGAAGAAGTGGGGGGAGCAGAAACAGAAAAGGCCAAATACAAATACCAACTTCTTAAATATAACTTAAAAGGTTTCTATACAAATATAAAAATATATATAATGGCCTGTATCTCTGTTAAGATTACATTTTTTTTCCACTGTTTGATCACATGAACTGTTTTAGTATACAAATAGGTATATATAACTGCTCTTTAAGAAACTACATTTTATTGTCAAAACTGCAAATATCACCTTTGGAGAGAATCACAAATACCTACAATCAATTTGATAATTTTATAGAACAGATCAATTTTGATGAGCTGTTTCCTCAAACTTCAATATAAGTTTGAGAAACCCTATATAATCAAATGATTTTATCTTTAACAAATGTGAAAAACATCTGACTAAAACGCCTGTGAGAAAATATTCTACTTATTCATTACGGCAGATTTGTAAAAGCAAACACGGTTGTGAAACCTATAACAAAGACGGAATGTCAGCCATAAATATTAGCATAAGTTACTTCAGCAGGTCCACCTGCACTAAATATGTGATCTGCAATTTTAAATGCGTACATGTCAAACTGCTTAACATAATATGATTACTATATAAAGGTGATCAAGAAAATCTCTTTAGAAATGAATTTTAAAATTATTCAAGATGCTCACAAGTCAAATCTCTAATAATACTCTAAAATAATAAACAACATATACTCTCCAATCAAGAGCTGCAGATCAAGAAGAATCAGTCATAATATTTTACACTTAGTAATAATTACATCAAAATACTATGCAAATCATGTATTACTATTAAAAACTGCATACAAAGCACAGCTCAGGGCAAATCAATTTCGATCTTTAATAAATAACAGTATGATAAAGTTAACATCTTCCTAAATACAAACAGTTCAAATACGAAGTATAAAAAATGAGTTAATTCTTTTAAAATCCACAATAAATAAAGTTTAAAGGATACTGATCTGTCTGTGGTCTTCGAAAGTTCTCTGGAAGATTGGCTTCATAGAGTAGTCTTGCTTTAGTATTTCCCATATCTTGCATGCACTAAAATAAAAAGAAAAATCAAGTACTTTCATTATTCATATGAATATTAAAAAGTAATTCCTATATACACATACATATACATACACACACATACACAAATACAAAGTAACATTTATTATTTCCGATATATATTCTTCTCAGAAAAATAAATCACAACTATGAAACTACTCAAGTTCAAAGTAGAAGCGTATTTTTAATTCTTCACATTTATTCAACTTACGTAGACCCACAGTTTTCTAATGTCTTTTTCTGTGAAAACAATACCATCTTTATTTATATTCACTACTTCCTAAAAGTAATTCCCTGGTAGTTCATGGCAGTTTTATTACTGTTTTAGATTTGCCACTTGAACAGCACTGCCATTTCCAAGGGTAACAACTCAAGATCAAATTTTCTTTGTTTTGAGTTTCAAAATACTCTTGGGTTTTCATGATTTACAATCAGGATCACAATGGAGAGCAGATAAAAAAGAAACGTGCTAACCTAGAACTCTACAGAAGTGGATTAATTGCTTTGGGGTTAATCTCTTTAAGATTCTGCTGAAAGCTATGGATCCTCTCCCTACAAAAAAATAAAACAAAACAAAAAACATTACCCAATGACCCAAAGCTTCCCTAAAATCTACAAACCCCAAGAATAAGAACTACTCAGGAGGCATAAAATAATCTGATAATCACTTAAACCAGTTTAAGTTTCAGTATCTTCTGTAAGGATTAGCCAAACAGTACTTCCTGGATAATCTACTACATTAGAAAGTAGCATTTACAAACAAAACATTATTCATTTTACATGAATACATATTACAAATGAATACATGTAAAATGTTTTACACAGAGTTTAGGTTCCTGAAAATGTTTTAATTGGTAGAAAGATCAGTCTGTATAATTCCTTCTTTTTTCTTCTGATTCCGTAGACACACCCCCACACCCCCACACCCCCAAGAAGACAATCCAGGTTTAACAGATAATCAGTTGTCCACCTTGAGTTGTAGCCCTTAAGTGTACACAGAACCATCTTCCTTCAAATAAAAAATACAGTGACATGGGGCGCCTGGGTGGTTCAATCAGTTAAGCATCCGACTCTTGATTTCAACCCAGGTCATGATCTCAGGGTCTGCCTTGGGCTCCGCTCTGCATTGGGCTCCACGCTCAGTGTGGAGTCTGCTTGTCCCTCTCCCCCTGCACACTCTCGCACACGTGTTCTTTCTCTCTCTCTCTCTCTCTAATAAATAAATAAATAAAACCTTTTTAAAAAAAATACAATGACCTTTTTTTCTCCCAACTGAGAGTTTTAAGGTATGCAAAACACTAATATACTCTCATTTCTGGATATCTATTCTAACCCACCTCAACATAAGTACTCTTTCAGAGTAAATGAGATCATAAGGAAGGGAAGTAATAGGGGGCTGGGAAATATAAGGAAGAGTAAACTGAAAAAGAATGAAACAGTTTTTGTTATTTAGCTTTGGAGACAAAACAGAAGCTAAGGCAAAATAAACCCAAGGGTATATAAGCTGAGGGGGAAAACCTGTGTAAGGTGAACTGACAGTATAAGGTCAGAGGGCTCTATTACATCATGACACATACTAGCATACATATGAGTAGAGCTAATTTGTAATTCTGTGTGTGGGGAGAAGAGCTTAGAAACTTTCAGTATAGCCCACCCTTCTTGAAAAAAGAAAAAATGTTTCCCATCTCAAGTATTCAAATGATGCTTTACCTTTGTGTCATGGTGGGAATTTAGAAGTAAAGATGATCCGAGTTATGTAATCATAAAGGCATTAAACATTTAGGAAAAACTACAAGAAAAATGCCTCTTAGTTTGCACAATATCTGCAATAAAGCAAAAAGTAACTCATAGAAACTATGAAAGTAAAAAAATTTGAAAAGTTTCCATCAAGCAAACAAGAATACATGGAAATTCTAACAAAAAATTTAGTAAGACTAAAAACAGTATCTACTATGTATGCCATATCTCACTGACCCTAAGTTACATTTTTCTTCCTTTTTTAAGATTAATGAACTAGGAATACATCTTAAAATTGATAGTGTCTTGTAACTGATAATTTTTTCTTATGAGTCCATAAAATAGAGGTATTTTTTACGGAGATATCTTATGTTCAATGAATATGATAGTACACATTTCATATAAAATATTCTCTTTATTTTAATATTTTGACAAAATAAAAAATAATTAGGAACGAGGCATACATGTGTACTACACCAAATTATTTACTGTTGTTCTAGGGATGCTACCCATCACAATCAGATAGGAGAGAAAAAAAAGAGGTATAAAAATCTGAAAGGGAGAAGTAATGTGAAATAATGAGCCATTTCTACAGGAGACCGCTGCCAAAAAGTGACTGGGTACAGGTGCATGTGTGTGTGTCAGTTGGGATTAGAGGGAACAAGAATTCAGTGACATCACAGATACATAAAGATTGTTTTGTAAGAAGATATTGTTAGGCTCAGATGCTTTCTAGGTTTCTAAAGAGCAGAAGTAGTGTAGGAGGAAGGTCAGTATCAAAGTTTCAAAACACTACCTTTAAGGGCCACATGGAACACTTATGAAAACTTATTCTATTGGCCCTGAAGAGCAAACTCTGTCTAGCGCTCGGAAGAAAATAATGAAAATAGCCTAACAATTAGTGATAAGCATTAGCCTCAATACTTTACTTTTATATATAAATTATATATATATAATTATAAATTGCATGTATATTAGAGAAATTGTGTGCGCACGTGCGCACACGCGCACACACACACACACACCCCATTGTAAATTTCAAAAAACAAACAAACAAACAAACCAAAAAACCCTGCTTTAGGCATTATTACCCTATTTTGGCAGGAAAGGAAACTGAAGTAGCAAGATGTTAAGTAACAGGCCCAAGATTATTAGTTTCCATGAGTATTTGACTCTTGACAGAACCAACATCAGCCCTCAGGAGTTTAGAGATCTCAGGCTGCAACCAATGGAACTGGGGACTACCTCCTGCAGGACTTACAAACACCGGGCTCTTTGTTTTAGAGGCTCAGTTCTCATTTTACAGATACAGAAACTGAAGCACAAAGAGGTTATATGATTTTCTCTAGAGTAAGACAATGAATCAGTTACAAAGTTCAGACTAGGATCAAGCTCCCTAGTCCCAATCCTTACCACCAGGCACCAGCTAATCAAAGTAAGTGTCCAAGAAATTTCACCACAAAACAGAAGAACACTAAGTATTGCCTCCATTATTAAAACATCATTCCTGTTATTAAAATATTATTGCTTTTCTTTTAGAGTCTCTCAACCAAAATGCTTCAGCAAAATGCACTGTTGGAAAGGAGAATTTTAGTTGCTTATTTTTTGGCAATTTATGATTCAGTTTTCCAGAGTTGAGATGAGTGGACTGGTTGCAAAGAAATGGGGGAAGGGGGATGATAAAGGGAATACACTAATTTTAAAAGAAAAAGTAAGTTTTATATTTTTTATTATTTTTAACTACCATGAGACTTCAGTTATGGGTAATGAGCTAGCTACTTTAACTTCTACCATCTAGCTTCCTGGAAATCAAGCCAGACCCTAATATTATGCACCATTCGGAAAAACTTTAAATTTCCAAACCTATTTTCACTTCTCCAAAAGGAGGAATACTTGTAAGGATATCAAACAGAGTATAGGGTGCCTGGGTGGCTCAGTTTGTTAAGCGACTGCCTTCAGCTCAGGTCATGATCCTGGAGTCCTGGGATCGAGTCCCGCATCAGGCTCCCTGCTCGGCAGGGAGTCTGCTTCTCCCTCTGACCCTTACCCCTCTCATGCTCTCTCTTTCATTCTCTCTCTCTCAAATAAATAAATAAAATCTTAAAAAAAAGACTATCAAAAATTTTTAAATTTACCAATTTTCAAAATTCTTTGGCTTTACAGAAGGCATGTAATTCTGTCAGTAAATTTTCTCTTTCTCTCACACTTCAAACATGAAAAAGGGAGGAAGAGGACTCTTAATTACTTAAGTCAAAATTTCTACTGTTTGTTTAAAAATATTTTTAAATAGGTATTTACTTAATAAACCATAGTTCATCTCAAAATTAGATTTTTAAAAAACAGTCAAATATTAAGTGAGCAGAAAATATACTGAAATTCTTGACAAATGATAATAAGAACATAATAAATAAAAAGTCAATATGCATTTTTTACTTTAAGAAAAATATATATTTATATTGAAGAGTAAGTGAAATGTGTACTTCACAGTTATGATAAATGCCATTTAGGTAGTACATACTTTAAAATTAGTGTTATTTATTGTTCATTTTCAAATTTGATCTGTCCTCATTTTATACATTGTATGTTCCTAGAAAGATCAATTTTATATTGTACTTTTTGCTTGAACCGTCTTCATTCAAAATCATCATTATAATTGCAAAGGGAGGCTTCACCTGAAAATGGTATAATAAATCACACTTAAGAATCTCAAAACCTACTCTTAAATGTATTTTGTCCTTGTCAATCCATAATCTGTGTTTTTTTAATTTCTCCACCTAATCCAATACATAAAACAACACCTGCCCAAAGACTCTCATATCGCCTGAGATTCAATTTCAAAAATTACTATTTGAACTAGAATGCTGAGAAACACCTACAGGCTAACATACTTCCTTCACAATCTAATGCAGATAAAACACTTCTATTTCTGAAACTTTCTAAGAAGAAAACATTTCACCCAATCCTAGTTTTTGCACTAAAAACAATAAAACCTATATTCTAAATGAGTTCTAAGTTTTTAATGTTTTAAAGAGACTGAAGTGAATTGGGGTTGTCAATTTAAAGTTTTAAATTGGCATTTAGTGGGGCGCCTGGGTGGCTCAGTCATTAAGCGTCTGCCTTTGGCTCAGGTCATGATCCCAGGGTCCTGGGATCGAGCCCCAAGTCGTCGGGCTCCCTGCTCTGCGGGAAGCCTGCTTCTCCACTCCCGCTCCCCCTGCTTGTGTTCCCTCTCTCGCTGTGTCTCTCTCTGTCAA